GAAGGGGGGGCGAGGGAGAGTGCGAGACGAGGGGGACGACGAGGAGGGGGATGACGAGCGGGGGATAACGAGGGGGGCACGATTCTCTTCTGATGCCTCCCGGCTTCGTGCCTTCCGACCGGGCAGGACGACGACCACGCGACGACGGCGCCACACCTTGTCAAGCCGAGCTCTCTGCTGGTGCGCACCTTCCAGCTTCGTGCCTCCCGACCCGCGGCGATGCCGCTCACACTGCCAGCCGCTGCGTTTCGAAAGACCATGGCATCGCAGACGTGTCAAGGACGCACGTGTTTTGCCGTGCACGGGCACGACGCTCCCCCCGTCGACGTGTCAGGACGTGTACTTTCCAATACCAGGGCAAACAAACATGATGGGGTCGCCGCTGCCCCCGCCGCGCCGCGCCCAGCCTGTCAGGTGCCCGCGCACGTCTGCCAGCTCGCTCGCACGCGCGGCTGAGTCGCTTACGCTTACGTGCTCACCCGTTCGCTTCGTTTTTTCCCTGCCCATTGCTATTCGTCAGTACGACCGAGCTCTTATATATATATATATATATATATATATGTGTGTAGATCGGAGGTCGGGGGGTGAGATCGCAATGAAACGGAGACCCACCACCAGGAAATCGGTTGCGGTTTCGTGTTCGTGTCGTGCGTGCGGGCGAGGCGAAGCTGGGCTTGATCCTCCTGTAGCTAGGCCGAAGTAGGAGCGACAGCCCGTCCGCCCACCAGCCGGTGGCCGGTTGGGCCGGACGGTGTCCCGTGGTGTCCTGTGGTGGCCCGTGGTGTCCCGTTGAGTGAGATCGATAGTGAGATCGATGGTGAGATCGACAAGTGTCCCGTGGTGTGCCGTTGAGTGAGATCGATCGTGATATCGATGGTGAGATCGATGTGGTGTCCCGAGGTGTCCTGTGGTGTTCTATGCTGTCCCGTTGAGTGAGATCAATAGTGAGATCGATAGTGAGACCGTTAGTAAAATCGACAAATGGTGTCCCGTGGTGTCCCGTGGTGGCCCGTCGTGTCCCGTGGTGTCCCGGTGGTGTCCCGTGGTGTCCCCTTGAGTGAGGTCGACAGTGAGATCGATAATGAGATCGACAAGTGTCCCGTGGTGTCCCGTGGAGTCCCGTTGAGTGAGATCGATATTGATATCGATGGTGATATCGATGTGGTGTCCCGAGGTGTCCTGTGGTGTTCTATGCTCTCCCGTTGAATGAGATCGATAGTGAGATCGATGGTGGGACCGATAATGAGATCGAGAGATGTCCCGCGGTGTCCCGTGGTGTCCCGTGGTGTCCCTTTGAGTGAGATCGATAGTGAGATGCACAAGTGCCCCGTGGTGTCCCGTGGTGTCCCGTTGAATGAGATCGATCGTTATATCGATGGTGAGATCGATGTGGTGTCCCGAGGTGTCCTGTAGTGTTCTATGCTGTCCCGTTGAATCAGGTTGATAGTGAGATCGATAGTGAGACCGATAATGAGATCGAGAGATGTCCCGCGGTGTCCCGTGGTGTCCCGTGGTGGCCCGTCGTGTCCCGTGGTGTTCCGTTGAGTGATATCGATAGTGAGATCGATAATGAGATCGACAAGTGTCCCGTGGTGTCCCGTGGTGTCCCGTTGAGTGAGATCGATCGTGATATCAATTGAATCACATGTTGGTTCCCCCCCCTCTCTTCCCCCCCACAACCTCCTTATTACCCGAAGGGTGATCGTATCGGAGGAGAGGGGGTGAGATCGAAGTGGAACGGAGAGCCCCCCTACCGGGAAATCGGTTTCGGTTTCGTGTTAGTGCGTGCCGTGCGTGCGGGCGAGGCGAAGCTCCGTGGGCGGGCGAGAAGAAAGTCTCCTCCGGCTGAGGCGCGGCCGGACAAAATGATTGCTTTCCGGAGGCCGGTGGCCCGCGGTGAACGCCGATGTCCCGCCTCCGGCTGAGGCGCGGCCAGACCAAATGATTCCTTTCCCCGGGCCAGTGGCCCGCGGTAACCCGCCATGGACTCGTCGGTGTCCCGACGATGATGATGATGATGATGATGATGATGATGATGATGATGATGATGATGATGATGATGATGATGATGTCGATGATGTTGATGATGATGGTGGTGATGATGATGGTGTCCCGATGATGATGATGATGATGATGATGATGATGATGATGATGATGTTGACGGTGTTGACGACGATGTTGATGGTGATGGTGGTGATGATGGTGTCCCGATAATGTTGAAAATGATGATGTTGCTTATGATGATGATGGTGTCCCGATGATGATGATGTTGATGGTGTTGGTGATTCGGATGATGATGAGATGATGATGGGATGATGATGATGACGGTGGTGTCCCGATGATGATTATGATGAGGTTGATGATAATGCTGTTGATGATGATGGTGATGATGATGATGATGGTCCCGATGATGATGATGATGATGATGTTGATGATGATGACGACGATGGTGTCCCGATGATGATGATGATGTTGAAAATGAGGATGATGATGAGGAGGATATGATGATTTTGATGGTGGTGGCCCGATGATGGTGATGATGATACTGACGTTGATGATGATGATGATGATGATGATGATGATGTCCCGATGATGATGATGGTGATGGTGATGATGGTGGCGATGCTGATGGTGTCCCGATGATGATGATGATGCTTATGGTGGTGATTGTGCTGATGATGACGATGGTGCCCCGATGATGATGATGATGTTGATGATGTTGTTCATGATGATGATGAGATGATGATGGTGGTGTCCCGATGATGATGATGGTGTCCCGATGATGATGATGTTGATGATGGTGTCCCGATGATGATG